ATACGTAAGTAAATATATTTATCTGAGTATAATACTACCCCCCAACTTTATGGATGATTTTATGGATTAAATTTTACGTATTATACTTGAATAAATACGGTAAGTGAAAAATGAAAACCCTGCAACTATTCTGAAACAACTTATAAAACAAGAACGGCCCTGTAAAGCCAAGCAAAGAAACGAACCCTGGCAAACGTTTCCAGACATTTTAGAGACTCCTTCGTGAAGAAGACTCACCAACAAGCTCCCAAAAGTGAAACTTTTTAACAGGCCATTAAAAGACAAATCTGTTTTACATTTTACTGATATTTAGTAGAAGTGTTAAACTTTCAGTTACCTTGCCTTCATCCATGGGGTTATCACTGATGTGAACAACAGGTCCTGGATGTGTCTTAGTGGATCTGTAATAGAATGACAGAGAGTTTAAGACTTTATAATATTTTTTAGACAGTGTGGTTTAATAATACATTGAAGAAAAAGGTAATGAAAAACACTGATGATTTTAGAAGCCAAGACAGGAAGGCAATTACAAAAAGTAGCAAAAAAGTAAAAACAAATAACAATCCCTTGTAACACAAGAAGAATAAAAATATTATTAAAATATGAATCAGTGCAGCAGAGAGACACACAAGAAATGAGACAATAATAAGAAGAGGTTCTTTGAGAAATGATAATGTGAGGAGACAGGATCAGCGAGACAACAGACTAAGGGCCATGGAGGAAGTGAAGATGTGGCCTAAAGAAAGTGTTGCTGCCTCAGATTGAGGTCTGGCTCCGGTGGCTAATGATCTCATTGTTGCTGATGAGTCAATACAGTCAAGAGATGTGAAGAAAAGAAAAAGCAACAAGAAGATGAACTCAAGGCACCCCACATAATGATGCATCAGTATAAACAAGAAACTGGGACAATAAATAAAGCTGTGCAGACAGAGCCAGGCTCATACAAACACTGACACTAACAAGTTTCTCATTCAGCTTCAGACACCGTCAGAAAAGATTTCAGACAGAATCCAATCAGGCGAGGGCAAATATTTAAAATCCAAATTTCATATATTTGGATGTCCCCATGAGGCTGTGTTGTTTTTCTGGAAAATGGTCCTCACAATGTAGCAAGAATGAGTCTACACACACACACACACACACACACACACACACAC